AAAAAAAGCTGCAAATAAGTTAGCTTATTCATTTTTCCTTCAAACATACGATAAACGTGGGATAATAATATGTTCGTTCTATTGATCCAAATGAGAAACTGCCTTTGGCAAACTATGGAAAGATTCAGTATAGTTGGAAATTGGTTTATGGTTGGCACTTTGTGGTCCTCATGCGATGCCAAACTTGAATTACGTTTTAGCTAATGCCTGGTAAACCTGTGAATAAGCTCAGTCCACAAACCAAAATGGTAAAGGATGATATCCAAACCTTATTCCAGAATTGGATATTATCATCTCTATATGATCATTTTGAACTGCATCATGCGAAATGGGATAGTTCCTAATATATTAATGGTCCTTGTGTAAACATACTTATTTGCCTTAAGCTAAAATGAAAATTTTTTATTGAGATTCGTACCACTTTGGTAAATGCCCTTATCACAAGATTTGAAGTGGAAATACGCACATGATTTGCTAACAAACACCAGCATTGTCTTAACAAAATCTAGTGGTCCATTGTGCGGGTATTAGGTGTTTTACATTAAATAAAGTTCATATTGTAATTATTTTAGGACTTTCCCTTCTTCAGAAGCATATGAAAGTATTACGCCAAACCTTTTCTTGAGGTTAAGTTAATTAAATTAATTTCCAAATTACCTTTTACAAGTCATAAAGCCGACATAGTGTTTTGCATCTCAAGTTCTTGTCCATTTTTACTAATGTCATTTCTTATCAACTCATCAAGTGATTGAATGAAAAAGAATAATGCTTAAGAAGGAGAAAATGTTAACTCATTTTTTGTTATACATAAATAACAGGTATTTGCGTAATGCGTATGTTCCATCTATTTTTTGAAAGCAAAAATATTATAAGAAATAGTCAGAGTCACTCAAGAGAATGCATTTTCTTCTTGTCGAGGTACCCTATAGAATTAATTTAATAAGGAAAAGGGAAATAAAAATATGAAATGATGTATGACGACAGGTATTGTTAACATGCGAATACATGAATGGCCCACAAAATTTGGATATATATGTATCTGTAGATTTTTCTATTAGTTTGATCCTTTTTATACCCTGATTAAAATTTAGTTAGCTAGGTTCTCATGTCCTGCTCAGTAACGTATTAGGTCAACTATATATATAATCTTCAATATAAAATGTGCGTATGATTGTCAATAACCACTGAATGGGATCCAGTTTGGCAAACCACTGTCTAGGTTTATGTTCTGAGGAAAATTTATTAGAATATGTCAGATTTGTTTTATATAATAATTTCAGTCCATTTAACTAGTCCAGTAAATCATTATGGGCATCAATATTTTCCTCTCTCTTTTTCCACACATAAGGGGTAAAAGTCTTACAGTTGGCTTAATCAGGTTGTAGTCATTGCAGAGGTACCTGAGAAAAAGAAAGGGCATATTTCATAATATAAAGTGAATGAAACTTTAATTATTTTTATTATATTCATATATGGTTTTATAAGAGTTATGTTGTAGGAAAAGTGATTGTGTAATGTTATAGAGATTCGTTTTGCGTGCCTTAATTTTTTATTTATTTTTTTGTTTTAAAAAGTGTGGGCCCCACAAAATGTTGTGAGTGTAGGAAAGTTTGTTGTGTTATGTTAAAGGATAAAATGAAAACCCATTCATATAATAACTGTAGGAATTGGTGGGGTTAATTTTCATGAATTTAAACGGTATAATTAGAAACTGCATATTGATTATCAACTTGTCGAAATTCATCAATATAAGATATTATTTCCGTACTCTCCCATCCTTCAGCTTTCTTTCCTTTAAAAAACGGGGGACACACTAGCAGCCCGCTACCTTGTTTCCAAGTACCAAACTAAAATTATGATAGGAGAACCAAAATATTTTGTTGGGAGGAGCAAGGAGCTGATGGCGTGGAGAGATTGTTATTTATGGACTAAGTGACTAATAATATTAAGAGAGTTTAGATATCACAATCAAATTCAAAATCTTAAAATGAGTCCCACTTATATGAGGCTCACTTAGTTCATTTTTAATCAATGTGAAATTTTACTTGCTTACACTTTGATTTCTCAATATCTCTCTCTCAAGTGTGAGTCCTAGGCCCACATTCTTTACCTACAAGGAGAGGCTTATTCAAGTATTTATGGGGTTCATCAATGCTTAACTTCTCATTGAGCATTGGCTCTTCAATCAAGGCTTGGTTACACTAATCAAGACATTGGCTTCCCACATCTTCAAATACTCGAATAACCACATGTCAATCATTCATTGACTCTTATACCACTATTGTGTCTCGAAGCTCGACAATTTGTAGCCTAGCCTCTATGTCAAATAGCCCGACCTTCTTCAAATCAGTTCATGGAAGTGTTGATGAATAGTAAATCATAAATTAAACAAAGATAGGGATTTCACTATGAATAATGGAACCAAGTCTAGAAAACTTCCACTATGAATAATGAGATTACAAAAGATTCTTTCTAACTCACTAACCAAGGGATTTCACCCTCTAAATGATAGATCTACTCACAAATGTCTCGCACAAACATTTCTATCTATAAAGGTAGGGTTGGCAAAACGGGCCAACCCAGCCCGACCCGTCTTCAACCCGAAAAAACGAGCCGGATTAGGGTTGGCTCGAAAAAAAAAACGAGCCAGAAAACTCAACCCAACCCGACCTGAGTCGGGTTAGGGTTGGCTTGCGGGTTAGCTCAAAATATAGCTCGTGGGTTGGCTTGAAAAAATAGCTCGCGAGTTGGCTCGAAAATTGGCTCGCGGGTTGGCTCGAAAATTGGCTCGCGGGTTGGCTCGAAAATTACTCGCGGGTTGGCTCGTTTTCAATCTATTTAAATGACCCTGTAGTATTAATGCATCAGCTATGTGGCTTCCATTAGCTTAAACAAAAGGTTACAAAATGAGAAATAAAAGCAAAATATTTTAGTTTCGAAATTTCTTCAAAACAAATTTGCATCAACATACCAAATGGTGGTAGCTCAGTTGGCGCATGGGAGCTAAGCAGGTAGGGATGAGAGCATGCGTTCGAATCTCCCCAGTACCACCTTTGGGAGGGGTTTAAAGCCTTAATCCTGAACCCGCCTCGAATCGGATTAGTTGCGAAGCAATGAACCGATTGAAATATTTCCAAAAAAAAATTTGCATCAACATCCACAGAAACAATCAGAACCGATTGCTACCAAGTGGGTAAGATATTTGAACCAAACAGAGCCAGCAACACCTAACAATATAAAAATGGCAGGGATGTGAGAAGATTAGAGACTTAGATTTAGAAAAGGAAGAAAAATGATGACAACATGTGTGGGTTTTGTCCATTTTTGTATATTATATTTTGTTTTTTTTATAAAAAAAAACCCAACCCGTGAGCTGGCTCGTTTGACCCGCAGGTTGGCTCGTTTTTTCACGGGTTGAAACGAGTCGGGTTGGTTCGGGTTGACAGCTCATTTTTGCCAACCCAACCCGGCTCATTTATGGCGGGTAGCGAGCCAACCCGTTGGGTTAGCTCGTTTTTGCCAACCCTATATAAAGGGGATAGAGATCTTATTCAAATGATATTTGTATCTGGTTGTGGATTATCTTGCATGTTTATCTTTCTTCGTGTCTCCCTCTATTTTCTCTTTTTTTACTCTAACGACTCAACATCTTAACCTCTTTTATAAACAAGAGATTAGAGCATCCATTAATTTGGATCGATCCATCGTGGGCCAACCCAACATATGTATCACACAATGATTCCACTAAATTGAAAAACTAATCATCAACACGTCTAAAAAAGAAAACAACAACCAGAGCATAATATATCACTCATTGGAAGTATCTTCACCAAGAACTGTACTACAAAATTGGATTTTGGAATATAGTAAGTAGCTCCAACTAAAATGATTACGATACATAACCCACAAAATATGGCATTTATATTGTTGCATTATTACAATTATTTTAGAATATATATAGGGCCCTATCCAATTTAATAATTTATTTACGCCATCATTCTTATTATGCACTACTATAATTCTTAGTTCACTTTTACTTAATTTAGTTAAATATAAATATAAATATTTGGGCCTAGTGGATAAAACAATGAAGAAAGAGGGAGAAAATTAATATATTATTTTTTAAATAATTGATTAGTAAAATATAATATTTTGAACTAATTTACTAATCTATAACAATCAGTCGCATCCAAAATAGATGATTCGAACACCCAAATCAAAAGTTACGATATTTTAAAATTTTACAAAAAAAATCTTTAATTTTTGTTTTTGTCATGTGTTATTATTAGATGAATCACATCTAAATTAAGCAGGAATAAGTACCCTAATATTTATTTGGACGCAAACCAATCCGTCTATTTTGGGTGCAACTAATTGGTAAAATATTATCTTTTTATAATTTTTTTATTTATATAATAATATTTAAATTTTTTTCCGAGAAAAAGAGTAAAAGCCTGGCTTGGGTCGGCGAGGAGTGTTTTAGTGCCATCACGTGTGGCGGCAGACAATACATGTTTGACTAAGAACCAAAAGACCAATTCAGGATTTGACACGAGTGCCAAGTTCCTATTGCAAATTGCAATTCCGACGCCTAGTCAAAGCAAGCTACCTATTTAATATTAAAAAAAAAAAAATAAAAAAAAAATCCCACTCTTAATGAGTCTTTCAAAACTGACCATCATTAAAAGCGTCTTAATGGTTAATGAGACTTTCCAAACTCACCATTCCCATGGTTAATAATACTTAATACCTCTATTTCACTCCATATTAATTGTTGTTTCCATTTTATTCTAACTCTATTTAATCACCATTTTCTTTTCTGTTTTTTTTTTTTTTCTGAAGATTCTCCGAACCTCAAATCCCAACCAACCCAACCCAACCCAACCAAGCTGAGTGAGGGCACTTCCGTCATTCCAGTGAAATCGCATGACCCTTTTTGACACACACATAAGCTTCTCTTTAAATACTCCAAAGATCTATACTTACACATACTCCATCTGCATCTGATCACAGTCATCACCGTGCCGGTGACCGAGTTCCGGTCTCTTCTCAACTCGGAACTCATTCCTTCCCCCATTTCGATTTTTTCTTCTTCTCTTCATATCACAAATTCATTTTCCCTTCTTCGTTTGGCTCAGATTGGACATTGGACGAAGGAAATTCCAGAATTGACTAACCAGAAAAGAGAATGGGTTCGGAATTGATTTTCAGAGGGCACGAGACCCAACCAGTGAACGATGCCTACTCGCCGAAGCCGCACAAGCCATGGCTCTCCGTGACTCGCCCGATTCGCTACATGCTCCGTGAGCAGCGACTCGTCTTCGTCCTCGTCGGCGTCATCATAGCCTCCTTGTTCTTCACACTCGTGCCTTCCTCCTCCTCTTCCTCATCGTCCTCCTCACGCGCTGCTTCGTACGAGGCGCTTCCGATCTCATACTTCGAGCGCGAGTCGAGGCAGCCGGTGTATCAGAACCGTATGGCGGCGGTGCATTCGGTGGGGAAGGTGCCGTTGGGGATTAAGAGAAAGGGGCTCCGGATCGTGGTAACGGGCGGGGCGGGTTTCGTCGGGTCGCATCTTGTGGATCGGTTGATTGCGAGAGGGGACAGCGTGATCGTTGTGGATAATTTCTTCACGGGAAGGAAAGAGAACGTGATGCACCATTTTAGTAACCCTAGATTCGAGCTCATCCGACACGACGTCGTTGAGCCTTTGTTGCTGGAGGTTGATCAGATCTACCATCTCGCTTGCCCCGCATCCCCTGTTCATTACAAGTTCAACCCAGTCAAGACTATCATATCCTTTTTCATTATTATTATTATTATTAGTATTATTTTGTGCATTCAATTCAATGTTTATTTAGGGATCTGGTGCTTGTGTTTGGAGTCCTTAATTGTGTTTGTGTTCACAAGACCAATGTGGTGGGGACCCTAAACATGCTGGGGTTGGCTAAGAGAGTGGGGGCTAGGTTCTTGCTAACCAGTACCAGTGAGGTTTATGGAGATCCTCTGCAGCACCCTCAGAAGGAGACTTATTGGGGCAACGTCAATCCCATTGGTCAGTGCCATCTTCTTCTCTTTTTCTTATATATTTACTTTTCTCCGGTGACCGGCATCAGATTAGAATTTTCGAGGCAGAAGCATCGCAGCCTTGCAGCAGGGCTTGCGTGCTTTCTTTCTGAAACTGCAAACTCTTTTCTGGGCTTTTTTGTTACCTAGTAATACACGTGGAACATGGTAACTGGACCACCTTCTAGGAATTTCAGGCTCTCGTCGTCGAGGAACCCGTGATTTGCGGGTCCACATAATGAAGTTGTTGTCGTTTTTCTTCATGTTCACATTGCATTGCGGTGGTTAAAGGTGAAAACCATGCCGTAAAACTGTAATTGAAAAAGCAAGAAAGGATTAGCAGGGGTGAATTAAGGGTGGGGGTCGGGGGTGGCAGCACCATGTAGGTTTGGTTTGTGATTTGATTTCAGGGACGGGGGGGGGGGCACTTTGGTCCGTAAGATCGTGACCTGCAACGCTCAGAACTTTATTAATTAATTAATTATTTTTAGGAGTTATGAGGGAGAAATGGACAAGTAAAGCTGAATACTTGAGTGCAAAGTGTTGATCCGTTATCTGATGAATCGTTTTATGAGTGTGACAGGTGTCAGAAGCTGCTACGACGAGGGAAAGCGCACGGCGGAGACGTTGACCATGGATTACCACCGAGGAGCCGGTGTCGAGGTCATTTTCCATGGACCTAACTGTTTTCTGTCTCTCTTCTATTCTCATTGCTAATTAATTCCATTGTTGAGTTGAGCTTGAGCCTTACTTTATTTGATATGGACTCACAAGTTACGATCGAAGTGAAAATTTAAACCGTGCCTCTTATGTATTTTTTATTTTTTATTTTTTTCAGGTTAGAATTGCTAGAATCTTTAACACCTACGGGCCCCGCATGTGCTTAGATGATGGCCGTGTTGTTAGTAACTTCGTTGCTCAGGTGGCCCTTTTATTTATTTGAATTTGAATTAGTAAGCAACGGGTTCTTGTTGGCACTGTTTGTAGTAAATGTCTCTAACCGGTGTTCTTAATGCAGGCATTAAGGAAGGAACCTTTGACGGTTTACGGGGATGGGAAACAGACAAGGAGTTTCCAGTATGTTTCTGATTTGGTAAGTGAATATACTTTTCTCATTACTTTTACCATGTGCTATTAGCTTGCACTTTGTTTTTAATTCTAATGAAATTAACAGATATTTGTTGTTTGCTGAAAACGCTAACATTTCATTTTTCTTCAATCCATATAAGTTCGTATATGGTACTTGTTTGTTTTTGCAAGGTTGGATTTGGATTTTAAGTAGCTTTTGATCTTTTGGTCGAAACTTCAAAGCAAATTTTCCCCATGTGCGTGCTGCAAATTTAACAAAACAATTCCTGGCTTTCTGCAAAGGGTCTTTTCTTTTCGTAAATAATAAAGGTTCTGCCATGTGTTTAAATGACTAGATTGTCCATGCGGTAGTGGGATGAGTGACTCATTTCACCGAAGAAACATTTTCATGTGACTGGAAGCGAGTTTGAAGGCCCAAGTGGGCCAGCTCTTATTAATGCAGTTTAAAAAAAGTGTAAAACCTCAACTCTGAAAATAATGGAATATGAAGCCATAAATAAATCAAAGTGGCAACCTCACGTGTAAGATGAATGCACGGTGTTGAGGACTAACACGTGTATTGTAAATAATTAAATATTATCTGGGATATTACTAAGATTATAGCCTAGATAGATCAATTGGCAGTGAGATGTTGCTATACCTTCGGAATCTAGCTCAAAATGCTGCTGTTTGCTGAATTAATGTGATGCTTTTGTTCGAATAGGTGGAAGGTTTAATGCGCCTTATGGAAGGAGAACATGTGGGACCTTTCAATCTTGGAAATCCGGGTGAATTTACCATGCTTGAACTTGCCAAGGTGAAGTTGGGTTTTTCTGGAATTATAAATCATTAGGGAAAGGTCGAAACTCTCTTCTTTTTAAACTATGCTATAATGTCATGCCTTAGCCTGCCTGAAAGAAACTGGCCATAAGAATAAATTACTCATACTAATGTGCATTACTCGTACTTTTACATCATTCTTGGTATGGGATACCAGTTTCTTCATTTCTCCTATTCTCTATTACCTGAGCAAGTACAACCAGAGTTAGATGGTTGCAATTTGTCTTGTTGCCTGATTATTTCTACAGTCAAGATTTGCAATTCAATTTTTAACAATGTGGATGCAAATGAAGAGTGCTAGTTTGGATGAAAGAGTTATTTATTTTTTGTCGGTGGACTGAGAGTGGCTTTGGTCTCCCAGACAAGAGACCCATAATTGCATGGTTAAAATTATATTCGTTGGTGATACTGATGTAGGTGGTCCAAGAAACAATCGACCCAGATGCTAAGATAGAGTACAGGCCCAACACAGAGGATGACCCGCACAAGAGAAAGCCTGATATAAGTAGGGCTAAGGAGCTACTTGGCTGGGAACCCAAGGTGGACCTGCACAAGGGCCTCCCTCTAATGGTTTCTGACTTCCGGCAACGCATTTTTGGTGACCAGAAGGAAGGTGCAACCTTCGCCTAATTATTGCTTGGAGTGTGTTATGTGTACACCTTAGAGTGAAAAAGGGAAAAGATAGTAGTCCGAGGATAACAGTTAGGGTGTTTCCCATCCCCCCAAAGGTCCATTAGTCACAGCAACATGAGACTTTATTGTTCCTTGTGTCGTTTGTTCTCCGTCAATCTTTATATGCGGGTTATTACCCTCTTTCATGATTGGTAGCCAGCCATGATTTCATTTATCAAATTCCTGCCATCTATATTTTATTTTTATATATATTTTTTTTCTTTTTGGGATGTAATTGGTATGTTCGAGAGGCTACAGTTATAGTAATTTGACATTTTACCTTCACTTATTCTATTTTACTCGAACTTCACCACCTCCCGTTTGCAATTTGTTCTTTGATTTTATTTTATTTTTGAAATTGCTACCCTCATGTTGAAAAACGAAAATATTATTATTATCCTGTGAATCTAGTTCTCAGACCTAGATCACAGTGCCATCAAATCTTCCTATTTCTCTCTTCAAATTTCCACTATTTGTCAATAGTCCGGGATTGTGAAACGAAATAGTCTAATAGTTCATTTGCAACTACAAAAAAATAGTCTAATAGTAAGGTAATATGAGGAAACAAAGGAAATGTGTTGAGCTACTTTGAGCCCTACCAAATGGACCGCCCACGTGAATATCATATGGTTGTGTTCAGTGAATGTGCCTATTCTGAAAATCTCTCTCCCAATATTTCTACTGCTATGAAAATTTTACCGATTTGATTTTGAAGCCTTAAATATTTTGCTGTAGTTTTGGAAACAATATGGGGCTACTGTTAAGTTATGCACCAGGGGGAGGAAATTTTTTTGTATGGTCAGTAGTATCATACAAAATTTTGGTGGTCCTTTTTATAAACACAATTTTTTTCTTTCTCATCTTATCCATGTTCTTTTTTCTATTTCCTTTTTTAACCTCCTTATTTGTGAGAAGGAAGCACCTAGTTTTGGTACTCCCGGACCATAGAAAATTTACTCCGGAGGGAGAATGAATTTGGTCAGGGTAAAGGCATAATTTTCAAACAATATGTATCTACATGGCAACAATTGAAAATTCCCATTACATTGATGAGCGGCGTCCTTGCGACTCATCAAGATTGCTTCCTTGCCTTTGTATTTTCTGTACATCTTGTTTGTTAACATTAGCCGGTGATGCATCCGTTGTTAATTTCTCGTTGCAATCGTCACAAGTTTGAATTGATTGAAAACACTCAAAACCTGCCTTGCTAGCGCGCTTGTCCAGCCAATTTATGATGTCTGCAAAGACAATTTCGATGTTTTCATCAGGCTCCCCAGATGTTAAACTATGCCACATTGCTGGGTAGATTTTTATGGTTTTGTCTATGCTGCTGGCTCGCTCATGTAATGCCTTGCTTACTTCTGGGTCTGTCACTATATCTTCCTCTCCATGCAACACTAAGAACGGCAGTGTCACCTGCTCAAAACTCACAATAAGGCCCAAAAAGGGGTAATTTGATTTTTCAGCAAAGAAAAAAAAGAGGGTGTGGTACTTTCATTACAAATTAGACTCAAAAAAGCAAATTGCAGATCACCTCGTGTAAGCTGTTTTCGAGTCTCATGCTGGCTCTCAGCATTTCCAATGCTGTTTTTAACCTGGGCTTTTCCTGGTAGATCAACTTGTTTTTCCTTATCTGCAAGTGCAAACATCATTAAAGGACACATAGTTAACTTTGGCACTATAAAAACAATAATATTTGAAACTAAGGGTGTAAATAGGTTAGGCTGGACTAGGCTTTAACTTAAATAGGCCAGACTTATGTGAAAAAAATTCGCGTCTGACCTGACCTGTTAGCCTGTGTAGGCCTCAAATTACAAGTTTGACCTAACCTTATTAAAAAAATTAAAAACTTTGGTCTAGACCTATTTACCTGTTTAAGCCTATTAAATATTCAATAATTAAAAAAATAACTAAAATGTTATTACTTTATTATTCAAAATTATTAAAATAATAATTTTATTTATTTTATTTAAAATAAATAATATGATATAGGTCGACCTATAGGCTTATAGGCCCAACATGTACAAAAAAACTTATGGCATGCTTTCTAAATAATTTTTTTTAAGCCTAGGACTGTTCTATTTGACTATTTGTAATAGGTCAAGTCTGACCTAATATAAACTAGGTCGTAGGCTCTTGTAGGCCGGCCTAACCCATTTACACCCCTATTTGAAACCATTACTCATTAAGCCACAATTATAGTATATGTTCGGAAATTTCATTAAATATAGAAAAAGGACATTAAGCCCTCACCGTTTCTCGTTTGGCTTTATCTTTGAAAGATGAATCGATGACATCCTTTGAGGGAACTATTTTCCAACTTGGTATAAGATCTTCCACTTTCGTCAACATGCTCACAACCGCGGGATGTGGCTTCGTCTTCTCTGATATCTGGCATATATTTCAACAGATGTATAAACCACTGTCAGAACTTTCTTGGGTCAACAATAAAACATGTTATACTCAACAAAGTGGAGAGAAAGAGGAACTTTTGAATGAATGTCCATCACTACACACGAAAGGCATTCATACCTTACACATTGGTGCAACAAGAACGGCACCGTTCCAGAAGGAAGGGTCCTTTTTATGCAATAGTAGGGCAACTGCCCCTCCCATTGACTCTCCATACAAGAACTTGGTCTTTCCTTTGTACTCTTCGAGCTCTGAAACACGCAAATGAGTCAGTAAGTAACCCAGCATAAAAAAGTTCCTGAATGTTTCAACACTCAGATTATTATTGCTATAAGAAATTGAATACCTACCGCAAATTGACTTGTAATAATCATAACAATCGTTAACAACGTTTTCAAACTTTTTTATGTAACAACGAACCCCTGCAGAGTGTCCATGTCCTTCATAGTCGACCCCGAACACCGCATATCCAGCACACGCGAACCTCACTCCACATTCTAGAGCCATGAAGCAAGCAATTAATCATAAAAAGGCTTTACCATGTATTCAATTCTGACACTACTACGAGCTTCGGTTTAGCACTACTAGTAGCTGAAAGAACAAGGACTAATAGCACTACTTAAAATATTGCACACCTCGTAAAATTTTCATTCTCTCATTCCTTCCATACCCTACTAAAATCGTGTAATGTAATTAATTTTGATATAAGATTCTTAACTGAAAATGAGAGGTATTAGTTTTTAGGGTAATGTCAGATATACAGCATAGAAAAATTCACCTCTATTGGTTTGTCATTAGATCTAATTCTAGATTTATTTAAGGTCACAGTAATATTTTATTTTATGTAAATTTACAAAAAGATAAACAACTCTGCACAATAGCTCTACATTTTAATTATTTTTTTATTGTTATTTTTTTATTGCCTTCATCTGGCATTATTCCAATTATTATTATTATTATTTGAGTGATTATGTTGATAATTACTAATTAGGTTGAAAAAGCGCCATCCTTGAAATATGGGTTTATGGGTTTTTGATACGGACAGTGGTTTTATATTGGGTTTTCTTCTCTGATTGGACGACTCTGTCATGCAGATTGCAGACTCGGGGACGCCTGTGTCTTCATCTACGAAAACAATGGGCTTTAATAGGCCCAATATTTATCAAGTGAGAAGATGAAAGGGTCTCACCAAAAACATAAAAACGATTGGGTTAAATGAAACTACACAGGCCCAGTGGTAACCTGCAAGGACAGCAAGGTTGCATCGCTAGGCATAGCAGAGGCTATAGTGCATTCTCCCTCCCCCCCCCCCCCCCCTCCTCTTATTATTTTATTTTAGTTAACATGTTTAATATAATATCTTATTAATAAGGGTAAAGTCAATGGAGATAAGTTATCTCAAGTGAGCGCAAAACGACGTCGTTTTGGGACAGAAATCAATGTATTTTTATAATTATAATATATTGCAGGGTTATACTAATATTTATCATTATAATTTTTTTAATCTTATAACTCAAAACGATGTCGTTTTGAGTTCACTGGAGATAACTTTATATCTGGTAACTGGAGAAATACTTTTTTCTATTAATAATTAACAAAACGATATTTATTTTCACGAAAAAGATAAAATCACAACACCTTGAAAACAGTTAGCATTGTGAAAATAAGATAATATTTTATGATTATAAATAAAAATATATCAATTAAAAATGAAATAAAAAAAATAAACTTAACGCCAACAAATCGATTAAAAATTAAAACAGAAAATAAACTAAACATCAATTACTTCTCTCTCTCTCTCTCTTATATAAAAGATAGAAATGAAAGAGAAGTGCACAAATTTCATTGTCTTGATAGGACGCTGTTTTGAATTTTGATCGCGATATTCTTTTTTTTGGTCTTGGGAACAGGAAAAAGAGAGAAAATTAGGTATGCAATAGTACTCAGAAAGAGAAATAAAGAAGGAAAAAAGGTAAAAGAGAAGGGCATATTATAATAAAGAAGGAAAAGATAGGCAGAATGAGAGTAAATTAAGGAGCATTAGCAAATAGATAAGATAGAATAATGTGGCCACCCCAACACCACCACCGATATATGATAGAATAAAATTTTCAATAAGGTCACCTTTGGCTGATAATAGCGGCAATGTCAGATAAGATAAGAGCACACACATGCAGCTGTTGCCAAAATCACAACGCTGCTATGGCAAGTGGCTACCCAGATGAAAAGACAATTTGTTACCCCTACAAGATTTATTTTTTGGATAGATCCATGCTACTCATCAATGTTTTATGTTCAAAGATTGATTGAGCTACCCAATTCATTTTTGTAGTGCTGTAAATTTTAGTTGGATCAATTTGTACTATATCTATATGACACTTGAGTACGTACCAAATCCATCGTTGTCTTTGAAAAATTTGACCTAGCTTGAAAAAAAACTAAAACCATGTTGCGGTTTACAGTTTTTTGTGATAAAAAAAAAAATAAACAAGTATAATTATTTTGTTAGAATATTCATCAGAATTAGTGGACATTATTATTTATTTTTAGATGAATAGGTAATTTCTTTCATTTAATTTCTTTAAATAATTATATCTGAATCTTGACAAATTCTGGTTGCTATATTGTGTTTTTTCTAACTGTATATGGTGAAGAAAGTTTTGGCTAAAAAAAAGATTGCTTACCTAATGGGTGGTGTCAAATTTGCCATTCTAGTAAAGGATATTATTATAATTTCCTATTATTAGAATTTAGAATGAGAAACATTACATGTATATAGACTCACTTCCGCTTTCTTAAAATCATTTTAGGGATGATTTAATTAGTTAATCATTCATCAAGAAACATAACTTATTGGAAACATGTAATAATTAGTGGAAAACAACAATTACCAATAACAGAAAAGAGAAGGAAAAAAAAATAAATAACAAAGGAAGTTGTCGAAGAACATGAATTACGTACCTCTCATGAAACTACTGCATTCCACGCCATAACCTGCAATAAGTAACAGCCGAATCCCATGTTAAATAATCAAACATAGTAATAAGAGATTCTGAGAAAGAGAGAGAGAGGAGAGAAAACACAAACGAACCATGGCAAAGGAAAACAAGGGCCTTAGGAGAAGAAACCGGCAACCATTTGCATGTGAAGAGCTTCACTTTCCTTGAGTTCTCCCAATACTCCTGATATTAATTACGTATAATACAATAATCTCCAGAATATTTAATATAATAACAATTAATAACACAAAAGAAGAAGAAGAAGAACAATGAGTTTTTTGGTGAGGATTTACTTCTTGATATTCAAACTTCAAATCCATGAAAGGGTAGGCAAATTAATAATCCGATGAAAGTTTAATGAATGTTACGTTCACCGAGAAATAGACCTTTAATAACACCTTGGTTAGAAGAGTGAAATTAAGTTGAAAGCAGCAATAATGAAGTTCTTCAAACAGGGGCAAAGAAAAGCCTTTTCCAATTTGTGAAGAATAGCGAGGGGCGAGGGGGGGTCTTACTCCTTTGCCCAAAGAGAAATAGACTCGTGATAGTGTTTTTTTTATTATCTAGGAATTTGCATCATTTTGCGTTTATCTATTTTTAGAATAAGAAGATCCACAAAACAAAAAGGTTATGTGGTGGGCGTTTTTTTCGAAAGAGCCCATTCCGTATCTGCAGAGAACTTCTATCCTAATCCTCGTTCTAACACAATTTGTGGATATTACGCATGCCCACACTTCCGAAACCGTCTTCTTCGAGCATACGCTATTATTATCCTCTTTTGTTTTATCTGATGAATAAAAGGGACATTAAGCAATGTTAAAATTATAATATTTGACCAAAAATATAGCAGTTCAGTTGAAGTATAAAAGCTAGGTGAGTGTGAGAGCATGTGTTCGATCATTTTTTATACCATTTTTGGAAGAAATTTTTTGGACCTGCTCCGAACAAGATTGACTCTCGTGAGAATACTTATGGTTTATCCAAAAAAAATTATAATATTTGAATTCTACCCGTCACATACGTTGATCTTTCGTACTTCGTAGTTTAGATATACAAAGTTTTCAAACACAAATTTCACCTACGGAATTTAATTATTGAGCCGATGAGATGCGAATTTTCATAGGAATTATTCTGATTGTTTAAAGTTTATGTTAATTAGCATTATGGCAATGAATAATGAGACCGTCATTTAGGATAAAAATTACGGTAAGATTATAACGGAAAAAATATTTATGTTTCACTTACTTTTATATAAATGTGATAAAAAAAAATTTCTGCAGCAAAAATAAAAACATTAAAATCAATTAGAAATTATAGTAAAATATTACTCAACTATTAATTTTATCAAATTATCTGTTTGAAATTTGAAGTTTTAGTAATTCACTATTTTCAGCAACTTTTATTTTTTATACTATTATCACCACATATGTCATTATATTTATTTACTTTTCAGTCAATTAATTCATTGAAAAAAATTTATTTGAAACTCGAGCCATAGATCTATTTGAATAATTTTTTTTTAAAAAAATGTTTTGAATATGAATTTTGAAAACTGATTTTGATAATAAAAAATTTTGGATTTGGGAGAACTGCTCCCTTTAATAGAATTCAACAAGTGCTCGAATTGGATATAATTCGAAGGATGAACTGGTTCGAATTTTTTTAAGTTACAGGAAAATTATAATTATTTACAAAAATGTCATTATGGAGTTTTAAAATAATAAAATTGTCACCATAAAAATTTAAAATTTTAAAAAAAAATTAAACCAAAAAACAATCATTATTTGGGAATCATTTTTCAAAACAACAATTTCCAAATATATTTGTTTACTTTATTGTTTTAAAAACTTAAATACTATTTTTGAGAACGTCAACGTGGAAGATTCCATTGGGACTAAATTTTTTGAAGTTTAGTCAACGTTGGAAGCGTAAATGACCCGTAGAGACTAAAGACATAAATTTGTGAAAAAAGAAAAACAAGTCACTATCGTGCCTCTGGAAGAGGTTAATCTTGAAGAAAGTGAATATAAAATAAGTGGAGCCGCTAATTACAACAATCTCGGAACGACCAATTGATCGAATCTATTTGTCACGAGAAACGACAGATTTAGTTGATATTGACGTATGCAATAAATTATATTGATGCTGGAGGAAAATACGATAATATTATAACTGTCGTCGACGACACTATTGTATTCTCAGTAGCTTCTTTTGTCTCAAGATATAATTGAGATCCAGAGCCTAAAACTGTTTGAGATTGCCAAAAGCATTTAGGCAGGAAAGAATGAAAGGAGGTAATTAAGGAAGAACAAGGATTTGTGCAGAGACCCAACATCAATTATGATGTTTCTTATTCTCTCGCAGTGGATCTTATTATGTTCACTTGATTAGTGTGGCAATTATGATACATTTTATGGGCATTGTGTCTGCATGATCATTTGAGGATGATTTTTATTTGAAAATTCTTGATGAATGAAGCCCTATAGGTTTATTACTATACTCTTTTATTCTTTGCCATTTTTTTTTCAAAATTTTTTTCTTGCCGAAGGTTTTTAATAAGGCAGTTTGTGCAATACTTCGATACCGAAATAGTCATTATAGAAGATTGCAATGAGGTGGTTTCTTGCCAATTTTTTAGCTAGATTTTTTTCACTATTGAATTTTCTAAGAAGGTTTTAAAGAGGCTTGCTGATTTAATTGAATGGACATTACTATAATTTATTAGTGGAAGAAGATTACGAGATAGTCATTATAGAAAATTATAACTATATCTCCACTTCCTTAGCTCCAGGAGTAGCTATATAGCTAAATTAAAGGAGAGTTATATGCACAACTCTCTTTTTTCTTTACCATGTGTGTATCCCACTAGGTTTTTCTGTGAAAGGTTTTTAATAAGCCAGTATAAATTAGCGTATAACAAAAGATGAATATACAAGGGAAGTATTATGAAATAAATTGTGGATATTTCACTTCTTTGACTTTACAGCTAATTGTCTTTACATATTCTCCAGTAACCCTTTGTAGTGTAACCACTTGTGTATGTTTATGGTGATTATCTTTACATATAGGTTATTGTAAACTTGTAAAGATACATGAAATTGAATGTTTGACACAAGTTCTCCTATATTCTCTTTTGCTATTTGTCATTTCTATATTTTCTTTCTCTTCATAATTTCATTTCTTTTTCTTATACTCTATATCAATTTCACAACACGTTTGTTATAGGGAGAAAAATAAAGAAAAGAGAAAAAATAAGAAGATCAAAGTAAAAATTATTGTAGTCATCAACTTATGAATCATCTTATCATTACAAGTATATAAAAAAATCACGAGTTATACTTCAACTATGAGTTACTTGGTACATCAAAAGTCACGAGAATTCATATAGTCATTCACATAAATATTTTACAACAATCCTTATTAGAAAGAGGTTTTTAATTGTCGATATATCTATAATTATTTTTTGATATCGGTTCCCATATTATTTACAATTATAATACGGTAAAGTTAACAGAAAATTATCTTGAAATATAAAAATGTAATTAAAATATAACATTTCTTGTTCTTATGCATAACACTCATGTTTTGATATGATCCTCAAACATCACCATGCCATAACTTTAAATGCAGAATTATAACATCACCAAATTGAAATCAAATATACATATGAAGACTACTAAATTAAAAAAAAAAATTATATAAAGAACAAATTGAAAATAAATGTCAGACATAAGAACCGAAAATATATTATAATATTTTTTTCTCAATGACCACGAAACAATAGTGCTAACGCTGAGTGTAAGCACATACAAACTACGATTTAAAGGTCGAATTCAAAAAATTATTTGAAATGAATGATACTTCTATTACTCTGAGAATAACGATGATTTTTTTAAAACTTTTTTTTGAAAACAACTACAAAGAGAACCAAAATTAAGATTAATCTAAACACAGATATAAGCTGTAAATAGCTAAATATAAGATATTCAAAAATGCCAAATAACAAACAATTTGCTTGTTGACGTGTTCTTTCAGTCAGTCCTTCTAACAAATGCACTTTTAAGATAGTATTTGATAGATGTGTTACAACAGCACGGATCAAAGATAAGTTCTATTTTATGTTGGTGTGTTTTAAAAATAGCGCAGAACAAGACATGAGGGTAAATAGTCATACATTTAGGTTTCACTAAAAAAGGTTCAACACAAAAGAGAACAAAACAGAAAAGGAAGTGTTTTTCTGTTCTGTTAGCTTGTCAATCGCAACCTAGGAATAGTCAGCTGCAGCACAGAAGGCAGAAACCAATCCAGCCATCCCAATAACCTGCTTCCAACTTCGAGACCTAGCAGCAACAGCTCCACCTGCTACAGCACCCGCAATCAAACCATTTACCTGTTGGGGAAGTTAATTAAAAAGAAATTTAAAAGTAGTTTTTAGCAACTTATTGAGCTATGTTCATGTTGCAGTTAATCATCTTTGTTAAGAGCCTACACACGCAACCATGTAGATACATAAATATAGTGCACATCAACATAAATCTAGTGCAGATGATTGTTCCAACAAACATGCTTGGTACTGTCAAAAATAAAATGATCAACGCCAAAGTTGGCAGGAAAACTACAATGTATAGGTTATGTTCCAGCACAGTCATACAAATATGCTATATTATTTTGCATTAAGCACATCATTTGGCCAAAACCACTGATCACATGAAGTTCGTTCTCTGGTAAAATGAATTTGGCCACAAAACAGTATAACCGAGACCATAACGAGCCATCACTGATCAGTGATCAGTGAGGAGAGAATGATAAATCTTTAAAAGCTGAAAAAAATATATTTATTCTATTGCCTTGGTAGAAGCAGAAATTATATTTTCTGACATTATCTTTAAAGAACAGAGTCCAAGCTTCATCACAGGTCCAAAATTGTTGGAAGAATGACTACCTTACCTGCACAATCACAAAGTCAATTTCACTTATTTTCTGGACTAGTTAAAAAAGTATAAATAAGAGAGAATGAACCAACTAACCCAATCATTCTGCTTCCTGTAACTCTGAATTCCACATCGTGTAATGCTGTAAAGTCCAGCTACAAGTCCTAAAACCCCAAATCAATTAACGTTAATGTTACAAAACATGATTGCACAGCTCAAACATCATCTTATCTTATCTATAGTTTAATTACCGCATCGAATCCCAAAATTGCGAGCTGATTTTGCCTATGGCAACCCAAATTAAATCATCAGCAACAGAGAACCCTAACAACATCTATGAATTCGATCGACTAAACAAAAAACACTTTACCACAAAAGAAGCCTGGGCAAGGCCTGTAAGACCTGCATACATAAAACGATGGTTACGAGTTAGGAATTCACAATCATAATAGAAATTAAGAGTCTCGATGTATAACAGAAATTTACCTTGTTGACGAGCGTCGTAGGGACCAACACACAAACCCCAGATTGCACCGGCCTAAAGAAACAATTCACAGTTTCATTTCATCTTCACCGTCTCTGATTTCGCAAATGGAGAAGAAGAATAAGAAGCAAGCTAGAGTAAACGACATTACCGTTCCTATGCGAATGATACACTCAACGGCGAGGGATGAGCATGGAACGACGTGCAGGTCTTCTTCCATCTTTTCTTTGTCGCGGCGTAACTGTAACAGATTAGAGACACGACATTTACAAAACTGGGTCTCTTTTGTTGGGCTTCGGCCCAGACCGAAATATCTATGACCCAAAGACTTCTAACCAGTTACTAAAAAAAAAAAGACTTGGAACCAGAATAAACGGGTAAAACGGCAGCAGTTGTTTTTTTATAGATGGAACTTGGAAGGAAACCCTAGTTTATATTGTGAGCTCTGGGTCTGTGGTGATTGATAGAGATCTCAATTCGTGTTGATATGATATGAATTTGACACGATATGAATACGTCAACACTAATGCGACACGAATTTTTATTCGTGTCAGAATTTTCAACACGAACATGACCTGTAAAATTTGTGGGTTGACACGACACAACAAGAATAACACACAAATTGAATTTTATAAATTTTTTGCACAACACAAATCACCTTTTTTACGAGTTGACACTACACGAAAAGCACAATTACATCCATAAATGCAAATTTATAAGGCAGCACAACACTAACGCATCAATTAATCACATTACTGGGCATTAAATTTCATCAAGCTATGTGCTAGCAAGAGAATATAGATCTCCAACATCACAAAAGTGAATATATTCACATTTCCAAAGCAACACCATCAAATTTTCCAAATAAATCATCACAACCAGTATTGAACAAAACTAATATTGTTCCAAAGACAACACATAGCTAATCAAAAGCTGCACATAACTTACAAAAGTGCAAAGACAAATAAGTACATTCTACTATCAATATTGAGCTATTGGGAAACTATTAGTTTCACAAGGAGTTGAATTTTTGTTTGATTCTGTGGCCATTTCCTCCATGGCATTTTTTGTTAAGTCCTCCAAGAAAGTTGCATGCTCTAGCATAAAAAAAGTGAATTAGATAGTAACACACAAGTTTGGTAAATTATTCAATAATAATTACATGATTGGATATACAACAAATTGAACAAATAATGTATAAAAATACCTTGACCTCCAAATAGCCAATCTCTTGTGCACATTACAGCTTCCACTATGTTAGATTTGAGTGTACTTCTATATTGGTCAAGTACTCTTCCCCCAACACTAAAAGCACTTTCTGAAGCAACACTAGAAATAGGTATTCCAAATTCATCCATAGCCATTGTTGCAACCTCTAGATACCTATACTGATTAGCCCTCCAATATGACATTACATCCAAATCAGAATTCCTATCAATCCTTGGGTCCTCTAAATAAAGTTCAAGTTGTGTCTTTGGGCACACAATCACTTCATTAAAAGAGTCAAATTCCTAACAACATATTCAACACATATATTAATATTTATATAAATAAATTAGTAGATGCTAATTAGTAGAATGACAACAAATCTAAGACTACAATAAGTAAATAAACTTACACTCAAGACATGTTTAGTTATAGCAGAATATGAAGTTTCATGGGGTGCTTTGGTCCCACCATTAGGGTTGGCAAAATGGGCCAACCCGGCTCAATCCGTGTTCAACCCGAAAAAATGAGTCGGGTTAGGGTTGGCTCGAAAAATAAACGAGCCGGAAAACTCAACCCAACCCGAGTCGAGTTAGAGTCGGCTCGCGGGTTGGCTCGAAAAAATGGAAAAAAAAATTCCATTGATGCTATAACTTCTATATTTTTTTCCTAAATTATTAATTTATTCAATACAAAGACATTATACAGATAAACCATAGAAAATTTTGTATTTGGACTTGGACTTATTGGCAGTTGCCACCATATTCACACTGTCACACATACTATAAAAAAGGTCCTTAATGTACGATTTTGGACTTATTGGCTGCTGCATGGTATTTTCGTTTGGGTCTTTGGAATTGAAATTTTAGGTTTTAGCATTCCACTTTACCTTCATTAATTTTTATACTTTTATATAAAAAAATCCATAACCCGCGAGCCAACCCGTTTGACCCGTGGGTTGGCTCGGTTTTTTTCGAGCAGAAATGAGTCGGGCTGACTCGAGTTACTAACTCATTTTTCCTAACCCAACTCGGCTCATTTTAGCCTGGTTATGATGGGTTGGCTCATTATTTCCAAGCCTACCCATAATCTCTTACATTGCTTGATGAAGCTCCCGTTGAACCACTTGAAGATAAGCTTTTAGATCCACCATGTGGATACTCATTAAACAGAGAAAACAAATTGTTCTTGACCTTCGTTGCTTCTTTGATACCATCGCAACCATATAGCTTTGTATAACACCATTCAACGAAATGCATCTTATATCCAGGATCCAAAATGACAGTTATAGCCAAAATCATATTAAAATTAGTCCAATACTTCTGAAATTTAGTGAACATGTTGGCTGCCAAACTACTAATGTAAGGATCCTCACTATTCAGCCCATCCATTAAAGTCAAATATATTGTAAATACTAAAGGAAAGTATAGATTAGCGGTTGGATATTTGGTTCCATAGAAGACACATGTGATATCATAAAATACGGCCAAGAACTTGTTGATATTTTCAAGTCTATCCCATTCGTCTCTAGATGGACAATGCACGTAGTTGGAATCACTCAACTCAAGGTGCATAAGAGCATGTTTGTAGTAGAGTACAAAATCTAGCATGAGAAAAGTAGAGTTCCATCTAGTTAGGACATCTTGTCTCAAATCTCTTTTAGAGTCAAGGTGCCCATGCGCAACCTACTCAATTTTTTTTCTTTTCTTCCTTGTGAACCTTTAACATACTTGACACTTTCTCGAACTATAACAACTAAGTCGTCAATCCCTTTCTAGTCTTCTTGAACAATCAAATTCAGGATATGGGCAGAACAACATAGGTGAAAGAATTAACCATTACACATTAGTCCATCTCCTAAATTCAATTGATCTCTCAATATGTCAACATATACATTATTAGGAGAAGCATTATGCAATGTAATTGAAATTATCTTCTTCTCTAAACCCCAATCTTTCAAAAAAGTGTGAATTTTTTCAGCCAATGATATGCCATTATGAGGTGGTGGCATATAACTAAAATTTAAAACTCTTTTATGGAGATGCCAATTTTTGTCAACAAAATGAGCTGTCAAGCATATATATCCATCAGTATTTATGGAAGTCCATAAATCTGATGTTAAACTGCTTGAATTTTCCTTCAACTTGTCAAGCAATCTTTCTTTCTCCCTCTTATACAGCTTAAGACAATATGTCCTTATAGTGTTTCGAGTCACAATGTTTAAGTCCCCATGCAAATGCAGAAATAATTCCCTAACTTCTGGCCACTCACTAAATATAAAAGGCAAATCACGCTTCACAATAAGAGCTACTAATATCTCTCTAAATTTATCATGGTCAAATTTAGAAATTAAACTTAGAGAATTATTACCTTGATTTGAAAGAATCATCTGCCCAATATCACGACTGTCTCGTTTTACACATGATTTTAAGTGACGTTTAAAATTACTCGTCCATGTTTACTAGGGGTGTTCGCGGTCTGGATTGGATCGGTTTTGGAAGCAAAAATCATCTGATCCAATCCCTTCGGTTTGATCATATAATCATCCATTCTGTTTGTTTTTTTTCAAATCTGATCCGATCCAATCCAAATTTTTTTCGGTTTGGATTGGATCGGTTTTCGGTTTTTTGAAAATCCTAAAATTTATTTCATGATTATTATGCAAATAACATCTTTTGTATATATTGGCTTTGTAAATTATTATTTTTTAAATACAAAAGCATTAGTAAACTATAATATAGATTTTTTTTGGCAATGAGATATGAAGCTCTACGAAGATAAAATTTTATTGATGAGATGTGACTAGATTTTTTCTTGGGTTTAGTTGATACCTAATGGGTCTTGGGTTTAGAAATTTTTGGGCTATGATTGGGGAAAGACCCAAGTAAGTAGAAGAGAATTAATATATTGGATCGGTTTGGATTGGATCGGTTTTCATCAACCCATCCAATCCAATTAAAATTTGCGGTTTTTTTTCGGTTTTCGATTTATTTGGTTTTTGGTTTTTCGGTTCGGTCACCGCGGTTTGAATCGGTTTGGATCGGTTGATGAACACCCCTAATGTCTACTATAAGCTTGGTAAATTTGTCCACAATATATGCATTTGCATCGAGGTTTTCCACCATCCATCTTTGGTGCAATACACTCAAAGTGAGCCTAAATTGCAGATGTTAGCTTCTTCTTTTTTCTTGGTGGCTTCTTTGTCTCAGCCAAATCGGTTGTACTTTTATCCTGAACATTCTCATCCAACTGAGGTGTGTTATTTTCTGATTGAATTTCCATCTGCAACAAATAAATTTGCTAGCTTAGACAATATGTTAAAAGGAAGACAAAGGTAAAACAACTGATTGATCATTAATCAATTTGTGAGATTTAGTCCAAGAAATTTTCGTATGAAATTGTACTACTTGTAACTATATGAAAGAACTTCACTTCAACCAAATGATTTTATTTTAAACGCCTTCAATTTATTATTTACAATTACAAAATTGAACCTTCCACGTCTTTTGTAAATAGACCATGTAGCAATTGAGTATTCAACAAACTCTCAAATTTGAAATTACTCGTTCTTTTATTAAAGGAACAAATACTTTGTTCGTAGGAGGCCACAACTAATACAACCTATTTGTTTTTTGCCTGTGTAATCTAAAATTTGACCATGTTTACTGTGTCTTAAAATCATTTCAATGGGCTAAAACAATTCTTAATGATTTAATATGTTTGGGCAGACTCTGATAGAAAAATCCATTCTTCATCAATTTGTAGTGTTATTTGAATTGAAGATAATGAAAGTGGTTGAAAAAAAGGTGTATCACTGTTATGATTTAATGTCTAACTAGTAATACAAGCAATAAAAACTTTGAAGAATGTTAAAATTTTCGCTGAATGGTTTATTGTTTATTGGCTATTTATTTTCTGCTGTTGGTCATTACTAAAAGTAATCTAGAGATTCTGGGTGTGTTTGAAGGTGTTTTTGTTTTTTTGTTTTTAAAAACTGTTTTGAGGATAAATTTTGAAAATTGATTTTAGAGTAAAAAAAACAATAAAACTTGTTAGAATATGGTTAGTTTTGAAGTTATAAAGAAGTTGTAGTTATTTACATAAATGCCATTATTGAATCCTCATATTTAAAAGATTGCCACCGTAAAATAATTTAAAATAAAAAAATCGATTTAATTACGAAAATGCCATTAATGAAACCCTATATTTACAGGAATGCCACCGCACAAAAAAAAACAAAAGAACAACTTTTGAAAACATCTATTAGTTGTTTTCATTTTTCAGTTTTTAAAACAAAAAACCAAATGGTGTTTTGAAAACAAATATAGTGAAAACACTTTTTCCAAACAACTTTTTTTGTTTTGTTGTTTTTAAAACTTAAAAACGGTTTCGAAAAACATAAATCAATCAGAGACTCTATTTCCTGTTATTTAAGATATATAGTTAAGCTTTGAAGGTAGGACTTTACCAAGGTCTAAATCCTCTTTGCCCACTTCACCCAACAATGGTTGTTGTTTTAATATTTTTTTTACTAAAAATGTATTTGCTGTGAAATTGGTGAAGGCTCACATGGACAGAAGTTTTGAACTGCATTATTGCCCAAGTCTTGATTTTAGATACTTAATTATTTATCTATCTCACATTGTTATTATGTTTAAAGTATTCTATTCATTGGTTATATAGAGGCAGTTCGGGAAATTGAACGAAGATGGTTCATTGTGGATGAAATGGGTTTGAAAAATAAATAATAATAAATAAAATAAAATTGGGCTGTCGGTGGTGTTCGTTATCGGTGAAGAGGGGTTGATGGTTGGATTTAGGTGGACTAGCGAGAAGGAAGAAAATAGGGGTTGATGGTTGGATGTAGGAGAAAGGATCAAAAGTAAAGTAAAGAACAACAAATCGCAAACACAAATTTAAGCATAAAAAACAAAACAAAAACAGAGAAAATCAGATTATATGAGTAATATATAAATGGATTACCTCAGCAAAAGTGAAAACACATACAGAGAAAACATTGTTGGCAAAATTTCAGCGAAGGATAATTAGATTTGGACTTGGCACAAATTTAGGTCCCTTCGACCCCTTTTTTGCTCAGATCTGAGGTGAAAAAAGGACACAATGTTAAAGGACAAACAAAATCTTTAAAATGAGAAAGGAAAAAAGTCGATAACTTCTAAATTAAAGAAAAAGTGAACCAGTGATGCAACTTCTTGTTCAACGAAGATAAAAAAAGAAAAAGCTTCTCAAACGAAGCTTGAATGGCTGCTCCTGCGAAAACCAGTTGAACCCTAACGAAGCTTGAAGATAGCTTGAAGCAGGAGTGAGCAGCTGCGTGTGAAATGAGAAAGAGGTAAGAAAATAAACCCTAGTAATGTTTGTGTTTTTCAAGTCTTGGTGACTTTATGGGTGTGGAAAATAATAAAATATATGACATTACATAATTACCCTTAAGATGTAACGTGCTGGCGCTAGTTCACCCACCTATACATAATTGGACAAAATCGTAAATAACTTAAAAATACGGGTCACATGCGGGTTTGCCTGTTGACATGTGACACAACACGAATTTTTTGCGTGTCATTTTTCTCAACACTATCATGACACAGATATTTTTACGGGTCAACCCGAACACAAATTTTTGTGACGTGTCACGGGGTCGACCCGCATGTGATAACCTTTATTGACACCCTTAGTAATTGAGTTGTGGATAGATGGGGTAAACGAATGAGGGGGGCCTTTGGATCGGCTCGTGAAGGCCTAAGCTTACATGTCTAAATTGGTTGTTGAAATCAGGCTTGAATTTGTAAAAAAAATCTCAGGGTCTAATTCAAAAGCTCGGCCTTAAAGTCTCTCAGGCTGGCCTAGTATATTAATTTTTTTATTTTTTATTTTTATACTAGTAATGACCCTCTTTTTCTCCTCAATCCATTTTACCTCATTTTATTGGTTAAACAAACTTTTTGAATTATTTTATTTTATATTATGTTGTTTGCATATACATTGAATTTATGAATATTTATGGAATTACTAGTGTTGTTGATTGTATATTCTGTTTGGATAAATTTTTATTTTATTATTTTCTTTAAAAAAACTAAACCAGGTTTTTTTTTAATAAGTCAAGTCGTTAATTATATTTATAACATGTCACAGGCTTGGTCATTCTGACATATTTAAACACAGGCTTAACATTTTCCTTTTAAGACCAAAGCTCGGCTCAACTTATCTTGAAATATAAAAATGTACTAAAAATATAACATTTCTTGTTTATGCCAAACTCATGTTTAATATGATCCTCCAACTTCACTATGCGATAACTTCAAATACAGAATTATAACATCACCAAATTGAATATATATATATATATATATATATATATATATATATATATATATATGCTTTAATGTTTCTAAAGTGAACATAGATAAGTTATTTACATTCGCTCTCAAAATGACGTTGTTTTGGGTTGAAAAATTAAAAAATTATAATTGAAAAAACTATTATAACCCTGAAATAAATTATAATTACAAAAATACCTTCATTTCCGCCTCAAAAAGACGTCGTTTTGGGTTCAATGTAGATAAGTTATCTACATTGATTGTAGAAAAAGCGAACCCATATATATATGGAAAAATATTTTCTTCTTTTAAAGGAGAAAATTTTTCTCCTACTAGTGACTTATAGCATAAGTGGGTCTCACCTTGAATTTTTTTTTTCTCTCCACTATTTTGTAGACCCCACTTATACTATGAGTCACTAGTAGGAGAAAATGTTTTCCCTATATATATATATATATATATATATATATATATATATATATATATATATATATAGGTAGGATCATTTGACACTAGTGTCAAATATGAAGTTTGACACCTCATCTGAGAGTCGTTAGATAAAAAAAGATCAACGACTCTGATTTGTAAGCATATGACATCATTGATCTTTTTTTATTTAACAGCTATCAGATGAAGTGTCAAATTTCAAATTTGACACTGGTTTCAAATGATCCTACCTCATATATATATATATATATATGGGAAATACTACTCTCATGCTACATGTGATAAATTTCTCTCCCACACACCCTTCGATAACTGTGCCACCTTTTTCTTTTCTTTTCTTTTTATTTTTCAGATAATGGGACCCATAAATTTGTCTCTATGACATGAGATAACTTATTTCCTTTAACATGAGATTAATAAAATCCTATATATATATATATATATATATATATATATATATATGAGGTAGGATCCTTTGACACTGGTGTTAAATTTAAAGTTTGACACTTTATCTGAGAGTCGTTAGATAAAAAAAGATCAATGGTATCACATGCTTACAAATCAGAGTCGTTGATCTTTTTTGATCTAACGACTCTCAGATAAGGTGTCAAACTTCAAATTTGACACCGGTGTCAAATGATCCTATCATATATATATGATAGGATCCTTTGACACCGGTGTCAAATTTGAAGTTTGACACCTCATCTAAGAGCCATTAGATCAAAAAAGATCAATGGTGTCACATGCTTACAAATCAAAGTCGTTGATATTTTTTGATCTAACGGCTCTTAGATGAGGTGTCAAACTTTAAATTTGACACCGGTGTCAAAAGATCCTGCCTCTATATATATATATATATATATATATATTTGAGGAGCATGGAAGGACGGGCAGGGCTTTCACCATCTCCTCTTTGTCGCGGCGTAACGGGAAGGCATTAGAGACAATACATTTACAAAATGGGTCTCTTTTCATGGGCTTAGGCCCAGACCAAAATATATTTGGCCCAAATACTTCGAACCATAATAAACGGGTAAAACGGCAGCAGTTGTTGGCGTTTTTATAGATGGAAGGAAACCCTAGTTTATATTATGAGCTGTGTGTCTGTGGTGATTGAGTTGAGGTAGAGAGAGAGAGAGAGAGAGAGAGAGAGGCGCGAAAATGAGCGGAACGAAGGGGAAGAAGAAGGGGGCGAGCTTCGTGATCGATTGCGCGAAGCCGGTGGAGGATAAGATAATGGACATAGCTTCCCTTGAGAAGTTCCTTCAGGAGAGGATTAAAGTTGGCGGCAAGGCCGGTGCACTCGGTGATTCCGTTACCGTCACTCGGGAAAAGAGTAAGATCACCGTCACCTCCGACAGCAACTTCTCTAAACGGTACCGTCTTCTTCTTTCACCAATGGCGTTTATTTCCCATGTGGTTGGTTATTCATTATCAATTAATCGTTTTGTTCTGTTAACTGAGATATTCGAACTCCGAAGAGAGTAGATCTAGTTATCTGTTACTGGGATTCAGCACTTAGATCAGCTTGATAACAAAATTTGTTAGGAAGCATTGGTTAAAGCTTCCTGTCATTGGGAATTGGGCTTACTACTGAATTGTTTGACACATTCTTATATCTTAAGCAATTTCGTATTATGGGAATGGCTTAGAGGCATAAGATTAAATACAGTGATCATGGTGGAATATGCTTCGTTTAGTTGTACACTAGTTCTACTTCATCATGGTCGATTCAAAATGTGTTTTTTTTTTCTTTATGTTTTGACTTGTTAGATTGCTTATTAAGTTGTTAAGTTTGTTTCAAAATAAAAATAAGTAAATATATATTCATGTGCTGTTTAGTTATCTTCTCAACTAAGAAGAAAGACTAGTTGTTGCTGTATGGGGGTCGTATGCTTGTATCTTGAAAATCTGACCTTGGAGTTCACAAAAGGAATTGTCTGTCCTTGTCTCACTATAAGCTTCAATTATTGCGAGAGGAAAGTAGGGAAATGCTAGTCAGCACCAGTTTTCATGCATTGTGATTGTCAACTTATGTTTTTGTAATTAACATCTAATAAATTATGACTCGTGTGAATCTTCATGTTCTAAAATTCCCCACTGTTGCCTCATATACCTTTATTTTAGTGAAAGTTATTAATCTTGTGATTCGGAGCAGTTACTGAACTGGATGGTGGCCCTTGCTTAATTTACCTGCTTTAATGTCTTTTATTAGTAGCAGTTTGAACCTTCACATGTCATTGACATTAAATTTGTTTATTCGTAGCTCAATTTTCTGTGGGAATAAGACTTTTCTCCTCCGGTTTTTTGATTTCCTTCACTTGATTATCTTTCCTATTCGTTCCCTTTTTCAGGTATCTCAAATACTTAACCAAGAAGTACTTGAAAAAACACAATGTGAGGGATTGGCTTCGGGTGATTGCCTCCAACAAGGAACGGAATGTCTATGAGTTGAGATACTTCAACATTGCTGAGAATGAGGGTGAAGAGGAAGACTGAAAATATAAATCTCTGTCGAGAGGCATTCTGCATTAGGCATAATTATTGTTGACTCTCTTTTATCTGTGTTGTTAATTGACTTGTTACTGGTTGTTTCAGTATTCTTGCGTTTAATTTGGAAACCAACTTTATGCTCTCTTGAAGTTTTATAGTGATTATTGGAGAAGTTGTCCTAAAAATTTAGATGTAGTTCATGCATCTTATATGTTGGCATGGCGTTTTTTTTTTTTGTTACCCTTTACTTTTACAGTGAGAGATGTGCTTTTGAGTTTTTCCTCTTCCAATGTGGTATAAAATTGCTCTTATTGTCGATGGTAATCACAGTACGTAGGATTTAATGCTAGATTCACCGTTATTATGCAGGGCAAAGTTTTCGACCGAAAGCTCCTGATTCGCATCATTGACTTGTCTACCTCTTAGTCCACTGTGGATAAGCACGTAGAACGGTAGAAGTACAATATGGCTGCTGCAAACTTGGGACCGTTCGAGGCCTATAAAATTAAATATTACTACATGAACACGAACTAATGCATTATTTAGACAGCTGAAAGTTTACTTCAAGACTTTATATTCCGGGTACTGGAACATGCAAGGGTTTGGAAAGGTTCTACCACTGAAATAGTGCCTGAACAATACTTATTAAGGGGCCATGAAATGGAGCGGGTTCGGACAAACCTGAGAATCCAACCGTTCCGTTCCTAACATTAAGATTGGTTTGATTCGAGTACATGGTTCGAACTAAAATGAAGAACTGGTTTGAATTGACTAAATGAGTTTGATTTGACTAATTCAAAAACTGTTTGATTTTGACTTTAATTGTGAACCGGATAAGCTATTATTCATCATCGTATTGCATTTCTTGACCTACGAATCTGGCAATATCATCCCTAGCCCGATAGTTATCTTGTTCCTGTCTCCTAGCTCCAAACAGACCAAACCCCACACATTCTGATCATGCTACGAGTTGTGATTCCCTCGCGGTAAACCCAATTTTTTACGCTATAGAATTGTGATTCCGTTGCACTTTGCCACGAGAAACCCTCCATTTGCTGCGTCATCGGTTATAAATTTGATTTGATTGGACGTAGATTTGTTATTCAACTGTTTGTATATCAATTCGTGAAACTTGACAACTTCTGCTGTCTGTGTCCCTCTCTTCCCCTCCTTCCCTTGTATTATTTTACAATCTTTTATTTTTTATGAATTTAGTTTTTAAAATACTAGTATATACTAAGCACAAACAACCTAGAATTTGATTGGGGTGATTTGGTTTACATTTTTTAATTATATTTTTGAAATGAGATTGCCTTAGCCAGGGGACGGGTGAAGGAGAATAAAAAAAAAGTAATATTTAGAATGTTGAATTCGTTATGGAAAGCTGATATTAAGAACGGTAAAGAATATTGATATTAAGAATATTGTTTAAAGTGTTTGTGTTTGTCAAAATCTAGTATTTGGAATAGCGAACTTTAGATGAAACGTGGAAACATTGAAAGGGACTTCGTTGATAGACATGTATGCCAAATGAAGACCAATACTATGAAATATACATATTAGGGACTTCGTCGATAGACATGTATGCCAAATGTGGAAACATTGAAAGGGCCAAATGCATATTTCATGGTATTGGTCTTCAAAAGGATGTAATGGCTTGGAGTGCCATGATCGCTGCCCTGGCCATGCATGGACTTTCAGAGGAATGTCTTGAACTATTTACAAAGACGATAAATGATGGGGTGAGGCCTAATGCTGTGACATTTGTGGGTGTTCTTTGTGCTTGTGTACATGGAGGTTTGGTTAGTGAAGGAAACCGATATTTCAAGAGGATGATGGAAGATTATGATGTTAGTCCTCTGATACAACATTATGGTTGCATGGTAGACCTATACAGCAGAGCTGGTTGTATTGAGGATGCTTGGAATGTGGTGAAATCTATGCTTTTGGAACCTGACGTGATGATATGGGGAGCTCTGCTTAGTGGTGCTAGGATGCATGGTGACATTGAAACTTGTGAGATGTCATGTCAATAAAGAAATTTCTTGAGTTGGATCCCACAAATAGTAGTACCTACGTGCTTCTTTCTAACGTGTATGCAAAGCTGGGACGGTGGGGGGAAGTGAGGCATTTGAAGAGATCTTATGGATGTCAGTGGCATCAAGAAAGTTCCAGGTTGTAGTTTGGTTGAGATAGATGGTGTTCTTCATGAGTTTTTTTGTAGGGGATGATTCTCATCCCGAAACCCAAGATATACATAGGATGCTTGATGAGATTATGAAGAGGTTAAAAAAGAATGGTTATATAGGTAACACAAGTGAGGTATTGCTTGATTTGGATGAGGAAGGAAAGGAGTTTGCATTATCTCTTCATAGTGAAAAGCTGGCAATTGCATATTGCTTCCTCAGGACAAGCCCGGGTACCACAATACGGATTGTAAAGAACTTGAGGATATGTAGCGATTGTCATGTTGCAATCAAGATGATATCAAGGGAATTTAATAAGGAGATTATTGATAGAGATTGCAACCGGTTTCACCTTTTTAAAAATGGGCTGTGTTCCTGCAAAGACTACTGGTAATTGGTAAATATAATGGAAAAGTCCAATATAGATTTTTTTGAAACTTTGGAATTTATCTCTTCAAATCTCTACAAAGTGGCGGGGTTAGAAGTGAGGCTGACAGTAAACTAGCAAATTATACGCTTAAGCTGGCAATTCAAGTTTGACTGTTGCTTAAAGGCTGTCGCTTTAACATAGTTCTCTTTTGTTATTGATTGGAAGAGAATAGCAAGGACTAATAGCCTTAGTCAAAGTGCCTCCGTCTATACTTCTCAAGGGAAATTGAGACTCCCTAAACACCCTTATAATCAACGATGAGATAAATAAAACAAAATCGAAGTATTAGATGATTTAGCTAACGCTTTTATACTTCTTATGTTGTTGCATCAAACAGTAACTTTGCAGCTAAGACAATAAAAAAGAGAGAGAAAGTGGGATGAGGAAAGAGAAAAAAAAAAGTAGGGTCCTCACATTCCCATTGTCTCAACTGCAAAGTTAATGTTTGGTGTAGCAAGTATAAAACCGGTGTAGCAAATATAAAACCCTTTAGTTAATTGTGAAGTTCAATGAATATGTCGGTTAAACCGCTAAAACCATAAGTAGAGACATATACCAAATAATGGTAGCTCAGTTGGCACCAGGGAACTAAACAGGTCGGAGATGAGAGCATGTGTTTGATCCTTCCCAGTATCGTCTTTGGAAGGAGTTTAAAGCATTAATTCCAGCACCCGCCCTGAATCGGACTAGTCGCGAAACAATGAATCGATTGTAATATATCAAAAAAATAAATAAATAAGTAGAGACCTATGGATGGATGTAAAAATAATGAAGTTACCTCATGCTCAGGTTAAGGCTAAGGGAGTAAGGTGGAGACTTTATCAAGATGGAAAAGAAAGGAAAGAAAGTAGGGTAATGATTCTCTAAGTAGGTAGAGTGCGAATTAATACTTAGGAACAATGCCCAAAATGTCACTGTTCACTGGCTTATTTACCCAATTGTCACGCGAACAGTGTTATTTTCCAATATGCCACGAGTCCAAGTTCGCTACATTGGGCAGCGAACTTGGTTTGCTGATGTGACACGTTTCTGGTGGACTTCAAATTCGCTATTAGAAGTAGCGAACTAGGTTGCAATAAATGCCCTTACCTCTGACAAGTTGGTAGGACATGTGGCAGCATCAGACCTAGTTGGCTGCAAGGGCCAGCGAACTAGATGCCATGTGGCAGCTCCCTGCTAGTTCGCTGGATGAGCCAGCGAACTATATATGTGCCATGTGGCAGCATCTCACCTTGTTCGCTTGGCCCTGCAGCGAACTAGGTACCAAGTGGTAGCACCTTGGGAGTTTGCTGCTGACAGTTATAGTTCGCTAAATGTAATAGCGAACTCAGTGTTATTTATACCCCCTCCACCCCTCACTTTCAATTTGTAAATCTGCTACATTTTTTTTTTAAAAAACTCCGCTTTCTTCTTCTTGTTTCTTGTATTTTGTATTTCATATTTGATGACATAACGAGTGAGAGTAGCAATGATGTAATCTCCATTTTATATTACAATGGGAGGAGATATTTTGAACTGAATGATCAAGTGTTTGAAGGAGATACGAAAATATTCCGCATGAGCCCCCAATGCAAATATAATGACCTGAAGAAAATAATATACAAGAAGTTGTCATTACAACGGGGTCAATCCCTCTCTCGATTGATTGCTAAATAAGCCTCTGGTAACCCGGTGCAGTGGGTTGCTGTGGAGGTTGTCGAGGATGAAGATGTAGAGTTAGTAGTAGACGCATTTCGACAACATGTAGAGTCCTCAAGATCGAATTGTATGCGAAACTAAACACTGGTAGACAAGTAAACAGTCAACATTCCCTCCCTTGCAGTTACTCGTTCGACATTAATAGGGAGCCATTAGTCAATCCTGAAGATATGCATGTGTCATCCTCCACCACCATCACCCTCACCATCATAACCCCCACTAACAATGCCTTCAGGTGTGATTCCTGCCCATGACATGTATGATTCTACGTGGCGGATAGACAATTTCGAGGAAGAGGTGGACGAAGGTCTTGTTCTTGACAGTGAGTTATCGGATACAGACGTTGATGGTGATTTTGAAAGGGAGCCATCTAGTGCATTGTGTCAATTGATTCCTTTACTGGGCATTGTCAGAACGCATGACCCATCACCAGTGGCATGTGAGTTTATTTAGTGGGGTTTTAGTTTAGTTCAAAAAACTATTAGTAACGACATGCATATGGGATTAAACATGGGAGGATACTGTACCGTTTTGGTAGCAAATAAGCCATTACACGGATATTAGTGTAATGGTTATGGAGTGATGAGGGCATATCTTAAAAAGGGTGGCAGTGAAGGATTTATAGGCACATGGAACAACATCCACACATGTTTTAGTCAATCACTTTCTCAAGATCACAAACAACTAGACTAAAATTTCATTTGTTCATTGATAATTGGAAAGTCAAATAGCCTTTGTATTTATAATAATATTCAGAATGTTTGCTAATACATTATTGTTTGACAAAATGCAGAAATGATAAAGGAGGAGCCAGTATTAAAATTGGTCTAATCCAGGAAAGGATTGCATCAATTCTTGGATTTCATATATCATACAGGAAGGCATAGAAGGCAAAGCACAAGGCAATTGTGAGGACTTTTAGGGATTGAGATGAGTCATACGCGTTCCTGCCAAGGTAGTTGGATTACATGTTGCTGTTTTCTCGAGGGTCTGCTTATAAACTGGACTTGAATGATCATTTCATTGATGGTCGTTTCGATGGATCGCAAGAGGTGTTCAAAAGGGTATTTTGAACATTCAAACAGTGTTGTGATGCCTTTAATTATTGTAAGCATGTAATCCATATTGATGGGACACATTTGTATGAGAAATACTGGGGAACGCTATTGATTTCTATCGTAGTTGATGGCAACAATTATGTCTTGCCAATTGCATTCGCTATTGTTTCTCGGGAGATATTGATAATTTGTTGTGGTTTTTGGCTTTGGTACAGATTCATGTGGCTCAAAAACACGGAATATGTCTTATTTCTACTCGACATATTGGTATCTTGACAGTTAACAATGTTGAGCTAGGGTGGCAACCACCCAAAGCTTACCATGTGTTTTTCCTTTGACATGTGGCGAGTAATTTCAATCATAAGTTCAAAAATGTCATGTTGAAGAAGCAATTGAAGAAGTTAGGTATGCATTTCTAGTTATGGATGTTGTTGGTATCAGTGTTAAGATGTTAGGATTATAGTTAATATTTTTGTTGGTATGAGCAGGTTATTCTACCTCGCAATTAGATTTTGATGTTGTGTTAGAAAAATTTAAAGAATCAAGCCCACATATTGCATCATGGATTGATCGAATTCCCAAGGAGAAGTGGAGTATCACTTATGATGCTGAGGGAAGAAGGTTTGGGCACATGATCACAAATCTATCAGAGTGCATTAATAAGGTCCTTAAAGGTGCCAGAAACCTACCTATCACGCCATTGGTTCGGATCACATACGCCAGGCTAAATCAATACTTCTTGACACATGGCCAGGAGGCCCGGGAAGAGATAGACAGAGGTAATCGTTTCGCCAAAGTACTCTGGCGTTCATATGTTGAGAACCAACAAAAGGATACAACACACTGGGTAACATCTTATGACAGTGTGGTGAGTTCACTGCTTTTAGGTACCTATGTATTCATGTCATTGCAACAGGCACATCAACAAACCATGACCTATTGCAGTACATTGATCCAACATATAGTGCTGCATTTCAATGTTAGGTATATTCTGGACAATGGTACCTAATTGGCAATGAAGATTTCATACCACCCATCAAAGGACCAACTATACTCCCGGATGTGTCAATGAGACATAAAAAAGAAGGCCACGAAGTACACGTATCCATGATAAAATGGACTCGCATGAAGGATCAACTACTCGCGCAAGATGTGGTTATTGTAGGGTTGTTGGCCATGGCAAACGTCGTTGTCCATCGCGCCTATAATAACCCTCACTAGTAGTTGTGGATTTAATATGGAAGAATAATTAGAAGTAAAAGAAATAAAGTCACTTTTGGTGAAAAATGAGTTAAAATGACAGTTAAGGGGTAAAAATTCGGGTAAGCAAAGTTACCCGAAAAGTGAAAGTAAAATTAGAAATATGACTAGAAAAATATTCTAGTTCATTGGGTAAAGTTTGGTATTGAATGGAGGTGTGTAGATAGATACGTTGTTATCCAGTTAAAGTAACTTAACTTTACATAACGTAAAATCCTTTAAATTCTTCTCCATTTGCTCCCGCCACTGTCGACTTCATTTTCTCTCACCCGAGGCTTCATGGTTGTGGGGAGGGGTTAGGGTTTTTTTTTTCTCTCTCTCTCTCCTCTCTTTCTCACTCATCTAGCCACCAAAACACAAAGTGCCATATATGAAAGTTTAAGTAGAGATCATGGTGAATCCATTCCACCACTTAGTTTGAGCTGATTTTGCTTGTGGAGAAAGTTTTTCCCTTTCCCCAATTCGAATCACTATTCATCAAAGAAGGGAAATTGAAATTTTGATGGAGCTTTGCTTGGAGGTTGCTCTCTAGGTTTTGCATAAGTGATTAGAGGTAATAAGTTTGAAAAAAATTAGAATATGTTTTGGTGGGAAAGACCTTGAGTTTAAATTTAAATTGATGATGGATTATTGATTTTGTTGGGATATAGGAATGTAAAATAAGCATTTGTATATGTGTGAAATTGGAAAAATCCCATGGTGTTGTGCTCCTCATGTCTCGGCCTTGGGATAGTAATTAGGGTGTGATGTGCAAAAATTTTATCTTATGTATTGGAAAGGTGTAATGTGTTGGAGTAAATGGAAATTTGATGAATTAGTAAGAATGCTAATGTGGGAAAAATCCTATGAATTATGTCCCCTATGTTTCGGTCTTGTGGGACCTTGGAGGGATTTGATGTTCAAAAATTTAGTTGGATACCTTGTAGAGATATATCTATATAGGCATATGTATATGTGAGTAATTACTAAGTGAAGAAAATTGTATGAAAAAGAAGAGAAAACCCTTGGTTTCTCCCTCTTGGATTTCGGCCTAGAGGGTGATGTAGGGGTAGATTTAGTTACATTTTATTTTAATAAAATGTGTTGTTTTTCAATGTATGAAATTGATGAGTTAAAGAAGGGGAAATGGCTTTAAGATTGTTGAATGAAATCTTAGTTCCCTTTATGTGTACCCACGATCTTAGGAAGAAAAATGGCATGAATTTTGTTAAAAATTCTCATGTGGATACTTAATTAATTTAGGGAACTTTAACAATGATAAAATGGTCTTGACTTGTGTATTGGCATAAGATTGGCAAAAAAAACCGTAAAGAAACGAAAGTAAGCGATAAAATGTACGCCTTATGTAAAAATCACGGCATGGTAGCATTTTATTGATTTTTGTTTTGGATTCTTTCTCTAGGTGTTCCTAGGGATTGAGAGGGTTTGAACTTCCGTTGGAGATATATAAGTAACTTGCGCGACAAGTACGCAAATTGTAAAGCTCCAAGAGGTAAGCTCTATGTTTGTGGGGTTCGCTCCTACTTTGTGTTTCGCCATAATGTACGGACTGTGGTCAAGTTGTATGATATGTATGAGATATATGATATAGATGCATTCATATAGAGCTATATGATGATGTGATATGATATGTTTTGATGTGTTTAATTTGATATGTTTTGATGTGTTTACTTTGATATGTTTCGATATGATTTCTGTAATGATCTCTGGACATTGATTTGTTTATGCACTGATGTCCGCTTGGGTCCTCCCTTGGGACTGACTGTGTATATATCTGCTATATGTTGAGTTTCGCTTGGGGTCCTCCCTTGGGAACATGTGCACTGATGTCCGCTTGGGGTCCTCCCTTGGGATTGATTGTGTACACTTTGTTATGTGATTATCTTTGGCCATTGATCCTATGTGCACTGATGTCCGCTTGGGGTCCTCCCTTGACATTGATTGTGCACACTCTGTTATGTGATGATCTTTGGCCATTGATCCTATGTGCACTAATGTCTGCTTGGGGTCATCCCTCTGGACTGATAGTGTACATCTCTAATATGTTTTTGGTTCCGCTTGGGGTCCTCCCTTAGAAACATGTATGTTGATTTCTGCTTGGGGTCATCCCTTGGGAATGACTACGTACATCTCGGATATGATATGTTTTGTTCTGATGTGATTATTGTGATGATTTTTGTATATGATATTTGTTACGTGCGTTGATTTCCGCTTGGGGTCATCCCTTGGGAATGACTGCGTACATCTCTGATAAGATTTGTGTATATGCTTTGTTTAGTTATGATATTTGATTATATGATATGTTATACGAGATATGTTCAGTATAGTATGATATATGATGTTTTGTATATTATGTATCTGACTGTCATGCAGGAAGTGAGCCAGGGTATGAAGAGTTCTCTATAAACCTGGAGCTTACTAGAGATTCGTCTCTAACCCCATTTAGGGATATGATTTCAGGAAAACAGTTAATTGAAGAGCCCTCATGGGACAAGGACACTACCCGTGGCTAGAGGTACTAGTACGAGGATATGGAGTTCTGGGTAGCTGGATGCTACTATTTATTTTAGATGTATTTTTGGAGAATATGTATTGTTGTATAGTGTTCTATTCATTTTGTGATCATGATGTTTGATCCATTATACAGTATATGGTCTGTATATGTTTTGTATATGTGTTCATATATGATGCATGTACATTTGTGTATTCCGATATGTGCATGTGCTGAAATATGTATGCTGTTAGACATAGTGGCACAGAGCCAAGTTATGCATGCGCCCATGGATGGGTATGTGATTATATTTGGATGTCTGGTACTTCTGAATTTATATGCTGTATAAACTATCTATCAGGAACTCTTGAGAGTGAGATTGGAAAATTCTCAGTTGTCCGATTTTCAGAGGTTACTCTGCCCGATTTTCGTCTCCGCCGAATAAGAAATAAACTAGAAAAAAGAAAAAGTTAGCTCGTATTTTCGTAAGTTTAGTCTTCCGCTGTTTCTGTTTGTATCATATGCATGTTAATTGAACCGGCTCGAGACAGGGAGGTTACAGCGCCAGCAAGCCCAGTGAAACCTATAAATTGGAAATGTTGTTTGTAAACTATTTCAACCCTACGTTATTAAATCGATGCTTGTTTTTGAGGTATTTTGTTTGTATTATCTTCCTTGTAGACTATGCCGGTTAAAAATATTAAACAAATTACAGCTAGAACAAATTAACATAGCGAAACATAATTATAAACAAATTAACATAAGCAAACTGCATAAATATGAACATAAGTCCTGAGTACTGGGATATACATCATATAACAAAACCCCTACAATAATAAGAACTTAGCGTTCTCTCCTAGACTGGTGATAGCCCGCGCAATGTGACATCTCATGCTTATATGGTGACAACCCATAGTGAACCCTGGCCTCCCTAGCAGGGCTCCTCCTGATGCCATCACCGTCATCACCTCCATCCTTAGAAGAATCACCGTCCACATCGTAAACACTCTCCATAACTCCCACAATACCCTCTTGCGAAATCACCCCCGTAGGACCTGAATGTGGTGACTGGATGAAACTAGTTGAGTAAGCCTGCAGTGTGGCCATGACAGGGGCATAAAATTATGGCCTGTAATCCTCTATGAAATCGTCAAGACTATGATCCGGCTGTGAACTAGACTAGCCTGGAAACACGTGTGGCATCTGTGCGGGAAATCCCTCCTGCAGCATCAACTGTCCATTACTCTGGCCTGGAAATGGATGATATGTCTGTGGCGAAAATCCTTGCTGCGGCATGGATTGGGTTGAAAACCAAGGGGGATACTGCGATGGTGGGAATCCCGGCTAATCACTACTGGATGTGCCTTGCACATACTGTGGTGGCCACCAATACTGCTGCGATGGCCCAGATGGGTACCCCGGTGCATAAAACATGCCCACGGGACGGGGATGGAGAGTCTGCAAAATCACAGGCCGATCTTCAACTGGTGGAGTCTGAAAATGTAGAGGTAATTCCTCGTGGCGAGCACGCTGGCTACGACTCTCGGGACAGGGAGGCTCAACTGTCTGAACAACGGTAGGCGATGATCCAGGATCACCAGGGTCTGTCAACCTACCAAACTCATCGAATGCGGCTAGAGCTCGAACTGCCTCTTGGTAAATCTGACCAAAGAAGAACGTATCTCGCGCCTCATCTGATGACACGTGGACAACCGTCTCCATATGATCACTCTGCGTTTCATAAATCAGTCAAAAATGTTAAATCTAAATCAGCGTTTTTAACAATTAAAAAAGAAATAACACCCAAACCAAATTCATACCACATATGAATGGATCGCCGATCTCTGGGTCATCCACCGACGAGTATGCTGGAAATACCACTGAATGTAATCACTATTTACCGATATATGGTCATCTGATGTGTCTGGCCGAACACCCTGAACAACGAGGGCATCCCTCAAATGCCACTGCGCAATGTAGAGACTGTGACAATCTCTTCAATCCACATCACCATTACCGGTAAGGGTGACGGTCAACAGCTCAAAACAAAAGATGGGATCACTAGGGATCAGCTGTCGTAAACCAAACTGCCGGAGAACTCTATCTGGCTGCTGGTACACTACAATCTGGTAGTGTATGAATGGACATACAACTAACCATCTGCGGGACTCGTCAGTTGTAGGCCGATGTGTAGGGAATCCATGATACGACCTTCATTGAATTCAGCGTCTGGCCATAACGTCAATGTGGTGATGATAACGTCTGATGTGAAGGTAAACGATCATTCGCGTTGTATACACATTAAATCTGAAGAAAGAACCAAACACTATTAACAATTTATAAAACATACAAACTATACAGGTAGCAATAACAACTAAACCCTAAAATAAGATGCTTGGCTCCGTATATCACATCTAGGTCAGCCATATCGAAGAGGCCAGGAGAAATCGTCGGGAAACACATCCATGCCCATAATTGTAGTAACACAGCCCATCCTCCCATGTCGGATCATCTCGGGTCTGTGACCCCTCACAACTCCTTGTTTAAGGATGCAAGTACGGTCGAACCCCAAGAAAAAGTACTAGTCCGTTGGAAATCATCGAGAAATAATAAATAGGGTGTCGGCACAAAGCTGGATGCAGTCTCGACAAACAACATCCCCTCCCAGGATGTGCATGATCAAAGCACACGTGTATCTCATGTGGCCAATAATAGTGCTCGCGTGCTCCGCGTAATGCTGAAAACTCTCTCTCGAAGAAAGTTGCGGGATAACTAGTTTTTATGGAAATCTCGCTACCGCACTGGCTCAACTCCTAATAACTCTATAATCATCTGTCTAAAAGGATGGCCTCCAGCGCTGCCACATATAACCTCCCCATCCATGGGCAAACCCAACAGATGGTGTATATCCTATAAGGTGATCATAACCTTATCCATAGGAATATGGAATGTGTGCATAGTAATATTTCATTAAAATTTAACACACACAAAACTATAATCATGACATTACAATAATCGTATACTAATCTCGTGGTTACGCAGACGCGCAATGTGATAAAACCCAGCCTGCCTCAAGAACGGCTGGATGTCCTATGGTATATCTGTGTGATTGTGTATGGCAGCATGTCTAACATTAAGCACATGATCCTGGACATCTGCGTCCTCCAACGTGTTCCAGACATGCGTGGAGATGTGTTTCTCCTGCAATGTCAAGAGAGAACGGTCGGAGGGACCTGGGTCGATCACACTCTAGGGCGAGTCTTGATGCTCCATGGATCTATTTATAGAAAAAATTATATTATATTTACGTCTATATAAATTAATATAAGATTATAAAAACATGGACTAAGGGAAGAAAAAAAAACATAACCTATTACCTAAGAGACCTAAAATCTAAGTTATTAAAATAAAAATAATTTAACATAGTTCAAAATTTTAATTTTAACATAACAAATAATTCACACACAAATATTATAACGTTAAAACAAATATAACCTAATGTTTCGTTCTTATAAATAAATAATATAAATAAATAATATTAAATAATGCATAAATAAAGAAAAAAAATACTAACTTTATTAACATTAATATACATAGCTTCTATCCTATGGTCTTAAAAAAATTCTTCTCTCCTAAGTTTTCTACCTATAAATAAATAATATCAAACAATTAATATTATTACATAATGCATAAATAAATAAATATTAAATACTAACTTTATTAACATCAATCTACATAACTTCTATCCTATAAACTGAAAAAATAACCAAAAATTCTTCTAACCTAAGTTTTCTACCTATAAATAAATAATATCAAACAATTAATATTATTAAATAATGCATAAATAAAAAATTATTAAATACTAACTTTAACAACATTAATATAAAATTCTTCTAACCTAAATTTTCTACCTATAAATAAAAAATATTATTAAATAATGCATAAATAAATATGTAAATATAAAGTACTAACCTTAATAACATTAATATACATGTTCTATCCTATTGTCTCAATAAACAAATTAATCTTCTAACCTAGGGTTTCTACCTATAAATAAATAATATCAAATAATTATTTATGCATTATTTATTATTTATCAAATAATAAATAATGCATAAATAAAAATATTAAAAATACTATACTTAATAATGTAGACAGAGATAGAGAGTGAGAGAAAGTATACGTGAGAGAAAAGGAGAAAATGAGTAAGAGTTAGAGGGAGACAGATTTGGTTGGCTGGGGGATGGGTGCTTTATATAAGATGGGGTGGGTAGCTATTGGATCAAGTTTGCTATCCATCCCAGCGAACTTGTTGCATGTCAGACACGTGGTCCAACAACTACTTTTTTTAAAAGTTGTCAGACATAGTTCGTTGCAATGGGAGACGAACTCCTCTACGTCTACCACGTGGCATTGTAGGTGGCATTTATTGCAACCTAGTTCGCTACTCTCAGTAATGAACTTGATGTCCACCGTAAACATGTTACATCAACAAATCAAGTTTGTTGCCCAATATAGTGAAATTGGACGCATGACATATTGGAAAATAATATTCGTGTGACAATTGGGTAAATAAGCCAGTGAATAATGACCTTTTGATCACTGTTTCTAATACTTAATAGTTAGTAACATCACATAGGAAAGTTTCCAGTAAATAAATTAAAAAAAAAATCAATTGATCTTTTATTTGTTTGCCTTTAGAATCGAGAAATTAAATTATTTGTGTTTTTTTAATATATTTATAGGGTTTTATAAAAGTTATGTTGTAGAAAAAGTGAAGTTGTCATGTTATATAGATTCGTTTTCAGTGCCTTAGAAATTTTTTTTTTTTGCTTCAAATATGTGAGGCTCACAAAATATTGTGTGTATAAGAAACTTTCTCTTTTTTCTATTGCATGATGGATACAAATCTCATATTTATAATAATGAGATTAAGATTTCAACTTAAATTATTTAACTCCCGCCCACAGGACCAATGCTAATGTTCAAGTGTTTTGGATTTTTATAATTTAAAACAGTAAATTCTTCTATCGTTGTCGAGTACAAATTGTGTTAAAATCTTTTTGTCCCCAAAGTGAGCTTCGTTTTTTGGTAGCGAATCCTCGATGCAAGGAGTACAGAAGCAAGAATTTTATTTTAGGAAGACACGCAAACTCATACAGTACACGTTGTTTAAAAAAGAGTTTATTAAATAAATGAAAGCTTTTATTTGCAATTATTAATCTGATTGCAGTTGATTTATAATCAAATGAGTAATAATTCAACATATATTTTTAAGATTATGTAATTCATTAAATAAAAATGAACATAAAAATATAGAAAGTTAAGTTAGGTAAAATTTTAAGTTAACATGAAAGATCGTATTATACATTCTGTAAGATAAAAACAAATTTTAATTTATATAAAGGCTTTTGTTTGTCTTAAAAAGTATTTTCAGTTAAATTAAAAAATTAGTTCAAACTAGTTTTTAACTGTTGCTTTTTACCAATTTTTATAAATTTAATCCATTATTTGATCACTCGGATTTTTAAAAATATTTAAATCAGTGATTTGATTTATTCACCAATTTTTCGATTAAACTAAAGAGTTGAGCCTAAATTTTCAAAACAATGACTACATATGATATGAGAAAAGGGACACGTGAACACCAATTTTAATCTCGAATGATGTCAAAACAATGAATATATTTTTTTAGTAATATTTCTAATTTTACTTTCACTTTTCGGATAACTTTGTTTACTCGAATTTTTATCCCTTAATTGTCATTTTAACTCTTTTTTCACCAAAAGTGATTTTATTTCTTTTACTTCTAATTATTCTTCCATATTGACGGAAATCAACGGTTAAAATATTAGTTGTAAGAGGTTGTAAAGGAAAATAGGTTGTAATTATAACCTTTTCCAAAAATAAAATAAAATGCAATAAAAGCTGAAGCAGTTGTTACTTTTTACATTTAAGTAAACTTTGTAAAAGTGAAATCTATTTTCTTTCCTAGATTGGGTGATCTACCATTGTAATGAATTTTTTTAAAAAAAAATCTAAATAATATATTTTTAAATATAATTTTAATTTAATACAGTACTTTTTTCACTTTTTTTTGGTAAACAGTAAATTTTTCACCTTATTCATGTGGGACTAGTTCCGCAGACGACACCCCACATGCGATATTATATCATATGTTTGAGATTTATTTTGAACAAAAATTGTGATTAATTTCATTAGGTTAGTTCCATGTGCCTCTAATGCAAGATTATTATAAAATTAGTTCAATTAAATCGCGGCTAATTTTTTTTCAAATATACACCAAGGACAACATGTGGCGGGTTTTTTTTTCCAAGTTTTTTTTTTTTAAATTGCATTATAATGGTCGCTTTGCCTTTCTTTACCATTTTTTTTTTAATTTCAACCAACAATCATTCGAAGTTTTGAACAAAAGTTTCTTATGAAGCTTCCTTGTTTTGGAAGTCTCTTCGTTAGTTCACTTAACGAGGAGCACAGGAAGTGCGATAACAAAATAATGAAATATTGAAGGAAAAAATATTTGTTATTTTAAATGATATAATTTGTATTATTTCACTTTTACAAATAGATGAGACTCATATTTTTATTTTTATTTTTTACTTTATCTCTTCTTTTATCTATTTTTTTAATTTAAAATGACATAATTTTATATTTTTTAAAATAATACACATTTTTTCCAATATTGAAATGGTCACTCAAAGGTATCGAAAATATATTGTTGTATTATTTAATTATATCTTGTTAATAATTTAATTAATCAGACAGTGATGTGATGTTTACTTTGGAAATAAATATCTAGCAATGTAACTTAAAAAAAAAAAAAAATCTTGCGTGATTACGAAATTGTGACACGCAAAGAATATATTAGTTTATGACTACTAACCAGGGACAAGTAATAAGAAACTTTTTAAGGTTATATACTTCTTTCTGTTATTGTAGATGGAAAAAAATACAGTAACACTTATTTTTATCAGAATATGAGTTTGGATCTTGATGCATTTTTTTTTTTAGATCAAGATACAAACTCGTATCCTAGTGTTAATAATTTGTTGCAACTTTTCTCATCAGCAG